ATTATGTCCAGGTTGTGTCCCCTGTAGTAATTTTAGACAGATAACATCTCTGAACCTCAGCTCTTTATCTGTAAAACAGGGGTTGCCAGCCACTCCATGGGTGACCATGAAGAGCGTGTGGGCTCCCCACACATCCTGCCTGTGGGTTAGAGGCCTTCTGCCTCCCGCCTGGCTCCAGCCCCCATCACGGGATCAGGCATGGAAGCTCCCACTAAATACCAGACTCCTCCAGCTTCCCAGTCACCACCATCAGATTTATGAATGAGGAAACTAAAGCACAGCCAGACAGGTATCTTGGCTAAAACCACTATGGAACAGGCTTTGCCCATCACTGCAGAGTCTCCCAGACCCTGGTTCAAATCCAGCCTCCACTTGCTTGCCCTGGATGCTCCATGCCTTGAGGTCTGAGTCTGTAGCGTGAGACACTCAACACTTCCTTCAAGGCCGAGTGGGCTCTCATCACGTTCCGATGGTGTGCCTGGCCCTGGGATGACCTGTTTATGCAGCCGGCAGGCCAGGAAATGGCTACCAGCTTGGCCTTCTCAGCAAAACTTTGGGAGGATTTTAAAATCCCTGAGTCGGAAAACTCCCTAGTGGGGTACAAGGTGCAGAACATGGGCAACAGCAGCTGCTGCCGCTGCGTTCACATGGCTGCGGTTTGCTCTCTCCTGGTTTTTGTGGGTTGGTAGATAGCAGACGGCTAGACTAAGCTCATCCTCGGAGAAGCTGAAGTGGGGTCCTTCAGCCCTCTTCCCTTGGGGGACCTGCTAGAAGAAAGGTAGAAAACGGAAGGGGGCCAGGCATGAAAGGCAGCCGGCAAGGGTGGGCTCCTCTGGAAGGGGAAGCCGGCCAGCGCGTGAGCTCCCCCAGTGGCAGGCTTAGGCAGCTCGAGGAGCCCAGGGATCCCAGCTGCCCCAAAAGACAGGAGCCAGACAAGGCTACCAGCCCGGGGCAGTGTTCAAATGGCATCACTCTGGGCTTTGTCACTGGACCAGATGGTGTCTGGTTTATTGGAGCTAGGGCCATGAGCCCTCGTCTCTAAATGGCAACTGGCTCCTCCCCTGGACCAAGACCCATGGACTTGAGCACTTTGTCACCACTGTTGATGACAAGTCTCTGCCCTGGAATTAGGGAAGGATTTGTCTTAAAAAAGAGAGTCAGCCTTGTCACAGAGAAGTGCTCCTGTAAGGGGCACTGCTGACCTCCTGGGGGCTTTCTGGGAGGAAGATAAGAGGTGCGGGGTCCCTGTCACACACTGAGCATGTGCCACCTGCCTTGCCTGGAACATGTGATAGTGGTGGGAACCTCACAGAAACTCAATACAGAGCAGAAGTATGTCATTACCCCAGATGAGGAGATAGAGACTCAGAGGGTAAAGAGACTTGCCCAAGGCTATTCAGAGACCATAGAAGGACTAGAACCATAATCCAAAGCCCAGGCTGACACTCCAGGCTAGGGTGTGGCTCTCCTTAGGGATACCAGAACCCTACCTAGCCTGCTGTGATTGACAGTGGAAAACCCCTGCCTCTCAGAGACCACTCCAGGGAGCTGTGAGAGACAGGCAGGCCCTTAAGGGGCAGGTGGAGGGTCTGAGGTTCAGGTGAGGCTCCTAGGAGGCAAGTGAGCCTGAGAAGGTGGGGGACGTGGGAGGCAGGCAGGGGCTCCAAGGAGCAGGTAGGGGACCCTTAGGGCAGGTGGGGGCCTTGGGACTCAGGTGGAAGACCTAGGAGGCAGGTGGGGAATTCTCAGGGCAGGTGGTGGCCCCAAGGAGCAGGTAAGGGACCTGGAGACAAGTGGAGACTCCACAGAGAAGGTGGTGGGGGCCCTTGGCACAAGTAGAGACCCCAAGGAGCGGGAGGAATCTGAGGTTCAGGTTGGCTCCCTGGGAGGTGGGTAGAGCTTGCACTATGCCTTTCTCACAGTAGGGCTCTCCTGGGCTTTAAACTGACATGCTCTGTTTGGCTCTGGTGAACCATGAACTGTGTTGGCTGCGTCGAGCTCACTTGTCCACACAGCTGGGATGTCTAGAGCGAGAGGTACCCCTGACCCTGTCCAGGGACCCTAAGGCACAGGGCTCATTCCCTCTACCCCCCGCCCACCCTGCTCTGGGTAGCCTGCAGGTAGCCTTACCACCTCCTGGGCACTGACTTTTCAGGTTCCAAGTAGAACCCAGCTTGTCACCCCTGCAGGCTTGTTTGTGAGACTCCGTCTTGTCACGAAGGAAGGGCTCCTTTAGGGGGTGCTGCTGACCTTCACAGCCCCCTACAGCTCCTATCCCAGACCTTGGCCTCTGGAGAGACTCCATCCCCACCTTCAAAGTTCCCTGCATCCCAGAGCTCCCAACCATGTTCAACAAGCCTAATCCAAAGATCAGGTCTACTAGGGACAGCCACTCTGCTGACCCATGGCACGAGGCTGCTGGGCATTGGCCAGTGTATTTTTACAATCCAGATTCATTCTACCCATGGTCACCCTTCTGCCCCAAAGCATCAAACCTTGACAACTTCAGTCAGGGGACCTCCACCCTCCTCTCTCCATCTCCCTTCCCTTCCCAGACTTCCCAACACTCCATAATGGTAGAAGGTGAGCACAAGACCACCCCAGGTGTGGCAGGAGCCCAGGAAACTGACTACCACTTTATCTCAGCCATGTGCATCTCTGCCACCTGCCTAACACGGAAGTCATATAATCCCTAACGATGCTCCCCAGAACCACAATGACCTTCTCAGTCTGCTTGTAGCCATGGGTTCCTGGACAGGATGCATCATCTAACTCTGAGGGAACTCAGCCCTCACGCAGGATGCAAGAGAGAATTCGGGACTGCTCTTTGGGGACCTTGAAAGGAACAGTCAAGTGGTGTATGTGATGATGGTTTGGGGTACAGAGAAGAGACCTCAGGTAGGAGGGGATGGATCCAAGGAGGGACACTGGGCCCTGCCAAGCCAGCCCCCACTGGCTTTATTGGGACCCATGCCTAGTGCATGTGGACCCAAGGCCCATGCAGGCCTCTCTTGGGCCCACAGGGCACCTCAGGCTCCCTTGAGCAGTCTCTTTACAGGCATCAGCCCAGCCCACGCAGCAGCAGGTGCAGGGGGCCTGGGAAGAGCCACCTGCTGGGCGAGTCTGGGTGGAATTGCAGGTGCGGTGGCTCAGCCCCCTCCTGGCTGCCTGCCCCACCTTCCAGGCCCCTGGCAAGGTAAAGCCAGTACAGCTAGGCACACAAGATCACCAGACAGCATGCCAGGCCCAAACAGGGTGGACAGGCCAGAGAGGAGTTCAAGTTCAGGTTCCCACTACCCCTGGTGAGAGAAGTGAAAACAGGACCTCCTGGAACCTCAGTTTCCCCAACTGGAGGAAACTCCTTGAGATGTGTTAAGGATTAGATGGCTCTGATGAAAGTTGGGTCTGTACTGAGCTCAGGGAAATGCTGTTAGGGTCATGTGACCTGAGATGGCATCCTCCAGCTTTTAGCATTCAGCCTCAGGGTAGTCACTTAGACCACAAGGGCATCCCTCATTGGGGTGAACCCTGGCTCCCAGCCTCCAGTTGAGGGACCTTCCAATTCGTCATTCCCACAGCCCTCACCCACCAAATAGCCACCAGCTATCACTTTCACTACATTTCAGGCTATGGAGGAAGTTGGACCCAACTGGGCCTATTAAACCAGTTTGGGGCCTTCTCGGTTGCCCTCCCCACACTGCAGCTATCTCCACCCAGCGGGTTCCCATGGCCACCACAGCCACCATGTGACACAGGACCCACTCCACTCCAGCTTCTCACAGTCTCCGCTCCAAGCCCAACTTCCAGAAGTCAAGGCTTTACCTGCTGCTCTGACTACAAGCACATCCTCCGGCCCAGCACTCCAGCCTCTGCCCTTGCCCTGGGCTGTATGACATCCCTTGAGGTCATAGGACCCACCAACCTTGCTTGGTAAAGGGCACCCACCATTTCCAAGAACCAGAGATGTCCTACCTCTTTGTGTACCTAGTAGCCTTTGTGTTCCACGTGTGGTGTCTTGCTGGGATGCTGGATTCTCTGGGATGGCTATATCTGAGATAGGTCCCAGTTTGAGGTTACAGAGTGCTACTCTGCACCCAGTGTGGGGGCTTCAGGTAGTCTTTAAAAGTGCGGACTCCATCCTTTCTCCTTTGTGCTGAGACCTCTGAACTCATCCCAGCCCACAAGCACTCCACATCCCCTTAACTCCAGCCTCAAGCTATGGGATCACACAGGGTCCAGTACTCACCCAAGTCATCCTGGAAACTCTAAGTAGGGGAGGTGGCCAGTAACCAGCGGCCCCTGTGTAGGAACCCCACCCTCCTCAGGAGACCCCAGTGTCAGTCTTCACATGTATCCATGTCTACATGTAAGTCTGTGTGTCTGAATGTCTACATGAGCCTGTGTGTGTGTGTGTGTGTGTGTGTGTGTGTGTGTGTGTGTGGGCATGCACACACAGATTATGTGTGTTGTATGTCTGTGCGTGTGCTATCTTTGTGGGTGTGGGATGTGTGTGTCCTATGCATGTATGAAGAGGACAGGGCCACCCTACCCTCTCAGGCCATGGTCTTGAGGGTGTGCCGTGTGGTCTGGGCAGGAGGCTGAGTTTGTCTTACTCCATGAGTCCTGGCTCCCAGCTCCTCCAGGGCAGGTTTACATGGGGACAGTGCTGATACTGGGGGCCGGCCACCTTGGAGAAAAGGGCGGCTCAGGGGAACTAGCGTTTGTCTCTGGGATGCCCCTTTCCCCTTTCAAGTCTACCTCCCAACCTCTAGCCACTCCCACTCAACGCCTCCCCCAGGGCAGCCCCCTTCACACTGAGCAGATCTGCCCCTCACTTGGAAAGCTCACCTACTGAGGCTCATGGCAGGACTCTGCAGCCCATAGGCCCTTCCTAAACCAACGCTCTCCCCACTTCCTCCTCTGCAGGCTGGACACAGAGAGGTGGTAGAGGTCCCAGCTATCCCCACAGCCTGTGCAGAGTGGCCAGGGCGCAGGGAGCCATGGATAACTTCATGGAATCACTGAACAGGCTGAAGGAAGCCCATGAGAAGGAGGTGCTGGGTGAGTGGCCAGTAGAAGGCTCCATCCTTGAGAAGACGGTCTTGGGGATCTGGGCAGGCCAGGCTGCTTCTGAGGAACCCCTCCATTTCTTAGCCAGGGAGCAGAGTCCTGGCCCAAGGACCCAAGTTAAAAAGCTGCAGATGACCAGGAGTTGCACCCAGCCCCCAAGTATGACCCTGCTGTGTCCTCCCAGAGGGCTGGATGCTCTAGTCCAATGACTCCTCAGCCATAGAGAGAGACCACACACTCTAGGGGCCCACCTTGGGCTCTCAAAGCTATCTGAAGTATCCCAGGTACTGCGCTAACATCTTTCCCTGCCCTCCAGAGTACACCCAGCCCCTGTCCCATTCCCCATGGGTCAGGGTGCCCTTCCCCACCTCACTGCAGCTCCAGTTTGGTCCTTGGTGGCTTTCCAGAAAGGACAACCTGAAAGTCAAAGGAGCCAACCATTCCCCCAAGCCTCAGAGGAGAAGTGGGGCTGTGCCAGTGGGAACCCCCAGACCCACCCAGCCTGGGATCAGCCTCACAAGATCCCACAGAGGTGTGGAAATAAGAAATGGGTCTTGGGAGGCTTGTTCCAAAATTCTGTGGCTTTTACGCTAGTCTTACCAAAGACTTTTGCCCCAGAAGCAACAGAAACCAGACAGGACCAAGTGGGGTGGGGGGCACAAAAGCCAAGGTTAATAGGGATTCAGTTTGAGAACTGAGGGGCCATCACTGACCAAAGGAGACCAAGTTGCTCCCTGAAAGAGGACTGGACCTTTCTTGACTACTAGGTTGGGCTGGCGGGCACCGCACCTCATGTCTCAGGGGCTCAGATAACCCAAGAATAACGACAGGTGGGGCAGAGAGTGTCAGACCACAGGAGTGGAGATCCTACAGTTTCTGAGGGTGCAGGGCAGCTGGTTAGCTTCTCCTCCAGACAGCACATTATGAGAGAGCTAAACCTAACAGGTCTTTCCATCCCATTCCACATACCCAGAAAACATTGGCAGATCCAGGCAAAGTTAAGGGTATATCTAGGTTTCCCTCCCTAACACCAGCAGCACCCTCAAAACTAGCCCCTCTTAGTCACTCTGACTCTAACACTTCTAGCACAAGGGTCCTTGTCAACCTCCAAACAGATGCTAAGCTACAGACCCCAGAGGTCCAGACCACAGCTCAGGAAGCCAGAGCATCCAGGCAATAGGCAGACATAGGGAGTCCCTCTCACCCCTGCCCAGGGGCTGCCTCCAGGAGTCAGGCAGACAGCAGGGGTCTGGAGAGGACCCTGTATGACAACCAGGACAGGAAGTGCCACCTCACGGCTCAGCCTTACTCTTGTTGGCCTGGACCTGACCTCACCCCCCCTGTTCTCTCTGCCAGGCCTGCAGAACAAGCTTCTGGAACTGAACTCAGAGCGGTGCCGGTGAGTCAGCCTAGCCAGACCAGAGGAACAGAGAGATGGCCATTCCCATGGGATGTGGCCTCTCACACCACCTCCAAGGTCTCAGGATGGCGGTCCTGCCACCATCCCAAATGCAGAAGGGAAACTAAGGCTTGCCATTTGGGGGTAGGGGATTGAATCCTTTGGCCAAGGTGCCAGAGCATATAGGTAATGGATCCAGGACTGGACCTCTGGGATACCTGCAGCCCCAAGGAGACCACAGCCCCAATGACAGCACTTGTGAGTCCCAACACACAGCCTCAATTACTGGCGGGTAGCCTGCAGGTCACCTCCCCATGCCCCACCTCTGACTGAGCCGAGGCCCACTTGTGCCATAGCTAAGGTGGCATAAGACAAGACAGTCCATGAGCGCAGCTGTGTCTGGCCTTGAAGGACCCTGCTGCAGGACAGGTCCCCACAGAGAGATGCCAGGGAGGATCAACTTGAACCCAGGCTGCACTGAGCATCATATAAGCAGCCCACCTCAGCTGTTTGCCACGCAGGGATGCACAGAGGGTGGAGGAACTCTTCGCCAAGAACCACCAGCTCAGGGAGCAACAGAAGGCGCTGAAGGAAAACCTGCGGGTGCTGGAGAACAGGTGAGGCGGCTCTTTCCACAGCCCACCCGGGAGCCTTCTGCTCAGACAAAAGCAGGCAGGACTTTTCCAGAGCCTTAAGAGAATCACCTTTCCAAAATTCTTTCCTAGTCACGTATGATGGTACATGCCCTTAATTCCAGGCAGAGGCAGGTAGAGCTCTATGAGATTGAGGCAGCCTGGTCTACATAGTGAGTTCCAGGCCAGCTAGGGCTACAGGGAGACCTTGTCTGAAAAAAAAAAAAAAAATCAAGATTCCTTCCCAAACTTAATTGCACAGGGAATGCTAAGCCTTCAGGGAGGAACAGGCCTGGGGTCCACAGAACATAGTTTGGGAAAGGCAAGCGCATGTTCTGGCAGTGGGGGAGGAGGGACCAGATGGTCCCCTCAGCATGGCCTCTCCTGCCCCCCAGACTGCGGGCTGGCCTGTGTGACCGCTGCATGGTCACCCAGGAGCTGGCCAGGAAGAAGCGGTTGGAGCTGGAGAGCACGCACCTACAGAGCCTGCAGCACCTCTGCGTCCTCAGTGAGCCCCATCCACTGTCCCCGGGGACCCCAGGACCTGGCCAGCCCACAGAGGGCCACAGGGAAAGGAAGGGACCTTTGTCATATGCAATGTGGTATGACACACTCCAATTTCCAGACACATGGGACAAGGCCCCCAGAGGCCCTGTGCCTCCTTTCACATCAGTCCCTGGTCTGGAGCATCCCCAACCTCCTGGCCTTCCAGAGTGCAGGTGTCATCTCTTCTGCAAACTCCAGGGAGTTCTACTTCACACAGCACCACAGTTCACTCCAGTAGCCAGTATTATATTCCCCCTGCTGTGTGCCAGACTGGGGCAAGGAAGAGGGCTTCCCTCGCACTATGGGAGTCCCCTGTCCCCTTCACTGCCTCAGTCATCACCACTGTTCTTTATAGCCAATGAGATGAATGGACTGAAGGAGGAAAATAAGATCCTGAAGGAAGAAGTGAAGAGGCTTCGGAGCCTGGGGTAAGTGGGAGAGTGCAGGCCCAGACACTCACTCAGCAGGCCTGGTACGCATGAGCAGGAGTCCTCGGTGCTGAACTTGATGTGGGGAGGACCACCTCATCCAGGGTCCTGACTTTTGGAGTGGCCTGGCCTCCACAAATGCTCCAGCTGCCCTGCCCTCATCATCAGCCTTTGTGTCCTTCAGAGACAAGTCTGCACCCCAGGCCCAGGAGGGCACCTCTGAGCCCCCGTCACCTCTGCTGCTGACCTCCCCTGGTGGCTGGAAGGGCACCCCCGAGAACCTCCCAGGAGGCCCTGAAGAGGCTGAGGAAGACGAGCCTAGCACAGCTCCCCAGAGAGAAGGTGCTGAGGGACAGGGGAGAGGCTGGAAGATTGGGCACCTGGGAGATCACGCAGCATCTCCCTAGCTCCCTGCCATTCTCCCTCCCACAGAAAAGCCAGCAAGCCACAAGACATCCCCAGTGGCCAGAATCTCCCCAGCTGCCAACATGCCTGAGCCACGGACCCTGGACATGGTGAGGATAACAGGCCCTGCCTTCCAGTTCCTGCCCCTCTCAGTACCACCCAAGTGGGAAGCTGCTAGCCACAGCCCTGCTGTATACCAGGCACTGTGAGCTAGCCTCGCAACCCAACAGACCTGCACCCACACCAGGCAGGGGCTTTGAACTTTATGTGATGTGGGGGAAGGTAAGGCTGGTGGAGGTGCCCCACCATGCTGACCTGCCCATCCTGCACAGAGCCCCCAGTGTATTTCCAACCAACTGCACTCAACGGTAGCTGTGGTACGGCCTGGCTCTCGGGCCTGCCCACCAGACTGTGGCTCTGCCAATGGGACACCCCCACCGCCATCCACCAGAAGCAGCCCACTCAGTCTGACTTATGAACATGGCCTCCCTCTGGACAGGTGAGGCCCCACCTACCACTGCAAGCAGCACTCCACCCATCCCCCACAGTAGAGGACCAACAGCCCTGAAGTGCTGTTCGTTATCCCCTCAGGTGCCCCGCTTTTCTCTGGCTTGGCTTTTCTGAGCATCCTGGTTGATTCACAGTTCCCATGTGGACATCTCCTGAGTGGCCATGCAGGACACTGGTCCGCACCTTGTGTAGGACACTTGGAAGGGCCCGTGTGAAGCCTGAGTCTCATTGTCTGGCAGAGGGAATGGGCCTGTAGGGGGTGGACAGGAGGACCAGACACTCTGGGTAATGAGCAGATAGCTAGTGCTCCTCCCAAGATACTCTAGTTTCCCTTTTGTTACTGTGATAAAATACTGACCAAAAGCAACTCAGGGGAGGAAAGGGGTTATTTATTTCAGCTTACAGGGCACATCATTGAGGGGAGTCAGGGCAGGAACTCCAGCGGGAGCTTAAAAGCAGGACTAGCTCCTTACTCCCTGCAGCACCCCTCTAACCAGGGAACTCACTCACAGCCAAGGAAGCAGAGCCAGACCAGGGAGGAAAGCTGTTTGCAGGCTCACAGGCTCAGCCAGTTTTCTTATACAGCCCAGGACCACCTGCCCAGAGAACGGTGCTGCCCACAGTGAGCTGGGTCCTTCTACATCAGTTAACAATTAAGACATGCCCTCACACGGGTGCCATCTAGGCAATCCCTCAATTGAGATTTCCTTCTCAGGTGACTCTAAGCTGTGTCGAGTTGACAGTTAAAGCTACCAAAACCTAAGAGGAGGCCGAGAGGGGCTGGCAAGATGACTCAGTGGTTAAGAGCACTGGCTGTTCTTGCAGAGGACCTGGGTTCAATTCCCAGCACCCACAATGCAGCTAATGACCATCCAGACATAACTCCCGTAACAGGAGATCCAATGCTCTCTTCTGGCCTCCACAGGCATTGCATGCACGTGGTGCACATACATGTAGGCAAAACATTCATACACATTAAAAATAAAAAGAGGGGGCCTGGAGAGATGGTTCAGCAGTTAAGAACACTGGCTGTTCTTGCAGAACACCCGAGTTTGAATCCCAGCACCCACATGACAGCTAACAACTGTCCGTAACTCCAGTTCCAGGGGATTCAGCCTCTTCTGTCCTCCACGGGCATTGCATTACTCGTTTGCACTTACCTTCATGCAGGTAATACACGCATACACATAAAATAAAAATAATAAAATATTTTTTAAAAGTTAAAATTTTTTTAATTTTAAAAAAGAAATAAAAAATAGCCGGGCAGGGTGGTGCACGCCTTTAATCCCAGCACTCAGGAGGCAGAGGCAGGCGGATCTTTGTGAGTTCGAGGCCAGCCTGGTCTACATAGTGAGTTCTAGGACAGTTGGAGCTACAGGGAGACCCTGTCTCAAAAGACAAAAATAAATAAATAAAAAATAATAAATACATTTATTTAAAGTAAAAAGAGGAGGGAGAGAACCCAGTGTCCAGGATCAGGTCCTTTCTGACCAGATCTACCACCTGCAACACCTTGTGGCTGCCAGAGTCTGAGAGCCCTCTTTCCACCGCCATGCGACCTCAGGTGGCTCTTCCTGGGCCCCAGCCTTCTTCCCCTTAAAGTATGGAGTCTGCTCTCCTCCTTCTGGGGCTCACTCTGCCAGGCACTGCCGGCTGAGGGCTCTCCTCCTCCTCCCAGCTTCCTGCGTGCCTCCCGGCCCTCAGCCATGGCCTACGAGGCCCTGAAGCGCTCTCTGCAGGCCGACCGCCTCTGCCTCCTGAACCCGCACCCGTCCCTGCGCCAGCGCAGCCCGCACAGCAGCCCCCCGACTCCGGCTGCAGCTGCCCACAGCCCTCGGTCCCAGAGCCTGAAGGCCGGAGAGGCAGCGGCGTGGGAGGAGCCCACAGGCCTGCCTGGCACCTTGGTGGGCATACAGGACCCACGGCTGGAAGGGGCACTGCAGCTGCTGCTGGCTCAACAGCAGCTTCGGGCTTGGGCACGGGCAGGCACTGCCAGGCCACGGGGCTTGTCCACACCAGAGGTGATGCCATCATCCCCACGGGCTAGCTCCGACTCTGAGAGCTCCGAGAAGGAAGCCCCCGGAACAACTCCAAGCACAGCAGCCCAGCCTGGTGAGCCGCACCCTCCGCCCACAGGTCCAGGAGGCGGCCGGCGGAAGGAGACGCGTGTGGCCACTCAGGACTGTCCCCCAGACAAGCCCCTGGACCTCTCTGACCGGGGCCGGTGTTGGGATGCCCCCAAGTCCACTGGCAAGCCTTTGTCACCCAGCCCCACGGTTGTCCACACTCCCAGTCCTCAGCCACCTGCCTTGTCCAGACTCTTGACTCGCAGCCCCTGGGCCCTCAGCAACGGCACCAAAAAAACCGGAGTTCAAGAGCCTGAAGAACCCTGCGCTTCCAAGGTGAGGGGCCCAGCCTGTACTCATCGTCTATGTTCCTCCACTTCAGGCAGGCAACCTACCTTCCTTGGCCTGCCGTCTTCCCTCTGCCCCACCAAGGGCAGGGCCACCTGGCTGCCCTGTTCACACTAGAAGGGAAAGGGCTGACCCTCTCCTGCAGCCTCAAGGTTGAGTGGGAGCAGGGACCTCCCACACGCACAGATACTCACCATTAACTTGCCTTTTTCAGGACCCCTCATGTACTTTCCCAGGGCCCCATGCCAGCCTGCCCTCTTGGACAGCAGGGGAGGCTGGAGGAAGGTCAAAGCCAGCACCCCACCTGCACAGGCCTAACACCGATGGGCTCCCAGGTATAGTGAGCACTTAGGGTTACCAGTTCAGCATGGATGTGTAGTGGGGAGGGAGGTGAGTGACAGCCTGCTAGCCTTGTGCTGGGTCACCCTCATTGTGAATAGAGGCTCTGAGGCCTCAGGAGACATTGCTCTACCTACATTCAGGGAAAGAAGGGCTGTAGTCCGCAGGGCTCCAGGGGTCAAGGAGGAGAGGGCCTAGCAAGTGGGCCTAGGAGTAGATTCCCAGCAAGAGCCCTGGGGCAGGTTGCCAGCTCCTCTGTGCCCCCATCTGAAGGTTTGTTCCCCTTGTCCTGGGTGGGGAGGCTCAGTACCCCCAGCCTGGCTGACTCCATTCATGTCTTTCAGAACCCAGCAAGGCCGAGGTACAAAGGCCAGAAATGGACGAACTGGAGGAGCCAGACACCTCAGACAGCGAGGTGGGTCCTCAGCCATTCACTGGAGATGGTCCTAGCAGGTGGCCTAGGCTAGAGAGGGGGTATTCTTTGACCTGAGTACATCCTTCTGCCCAGGTGGACCTGAGGTCTGAGGCAAGTGTGGAGCCAAGCATGCTGGGAGAGGAGCATCAACAGGGTCTACAGCAGAAGAGGAAATGGGCCTCAGACACAGAGAACAAAGGTACCTCCTGGAAGGGCAGAGAGGGTGGGGAATGTGGGAGTGCCTCTCCTAGACACCTGCAGAATGGCATCTGAGGACTACAGAGGCCCTGAGGGCCCACTAACCCCACCCCTCACCCCCCCTACCCCCC